GCCAGCGCTTTGGATACCATGCCTTGAATCACCGGAGTCTAGCCTGGACTTCCTTAAAGCGTGGCAGCCAGAGAGGAGAGGGGAGATCTGAGAACCCAGAACTGGGAGTTACGAGGCCTCTAAAAGCCTAGCCTGGGAAATCACAGAGCCTTACTTCCACTGCATTCTGTTGGTCAGAGCAGCCGAGACTCAGGAGAGAGATTCCATTTCTTAAGGACAGGAAGGCACTGGGAGATAGTGCTGTGGGCCATCTTTGGAGACAGCCTGCCACACTTTCCAGCAGTCTGGGTAAGGGCTAAAATACACAGGTCCAGAGAAGAGGGAATAAGTTTGAGAAATATATAGGAGATTGAATCAACTGGACTCTGGCTGACTGTATGGGGGAGGTGACAGAGAGATGAGTTGGGGTTTTGTCTTGGGTGCTGGGTGATGAAAAATCTAGAACTGAGATCATGAAAGAGGCAGGTTTGGGGGAAATGATGAGATTGGTTTGGAACATGTTGGGTTTGAAGTGTGAGTTTGAGCCTAGAGCTTGAGGGGCACGTCAGGCCTCATGTAGAGTCTTCAGCTTTTAGGTAGTAGTAAGGCCGTAAGAAAAATACAATGTGCAGAGAAAGGGGAGAGGGCAGGGCTGTACCCTGGAGAGCACGCAAGTTAACATACAGTTGAGGGTTCCGAGGAGGAGGAGGCCGTGGAGGGAGCCAGGCTCAGGATGTGGAGCTAGCCTTGAGAGGCCCCACCTTCTCTCTGAGGGTTGGGGACTTCATCTGGGAGCAGGCCACATTAGAAGTGGAGGTTGTCTGCTGAGCAAAAAAGGGTGAGGCTTGCTGAGATTTGGGAAGGTTTGGAATAGCTGCTTCAAGGCAGTGATGATAATCTGCATGGTGTAGGCTTCACGTCCACAGCCTGCAGGTGAGAGGGGGCCATGGGCTGGTCCAGGCAGAGTTTTTTGAGGCAGGTGCTGTGGGATGTGGGGCCAGGTGAGCTGCTGAGTAGTGGTGAAAACAGTTTTGTACCCAATCACAGAATGAAGGACAGGGAATGTGGGGGATCAGGACACTGGAGGTCCCCATGAGATTGACGAGCAGATGTGCTGCGAAGGAGGCTGAAGGAAGCTGTAAATAAAGAAGGGCATTATGGCCACAAAGTGGGACACCGGGCTTCAAATGCCAGGGTGAAGCAGTTGTGGAGGGCAAGTCCCAGGGGGTAACCATTGAAGGGGTTTCCTGCTGTGCAGTGGAGGTGAAGGCCCTGGGGTGGGGGATTCAAGGAACCCTAAGGTGAGTATGTAGCTAGGACATCCACAGGGTCACCAAAAGACCAGGATGATACTTCAGGATGGGTGGGAAGAGTTGCAAGAGGCCTTTTTAGAGAATGTGGAATAGTTAAGGCCTGAAGAATGAGAGAGATGCTCTGGGGATTAAATTCAGTTCTGTGTTCCACTAGAATTTGCTTTTAGTCAAAATTAGCTCTGTAACTTCCATTTGTCCTTCCAAAGTTGAATAGCCAAATGTCTCCGTCATCATCATTTTGGCACCCCTGAACTTGTATGTGACCAAAGATCATAGGAGTGCATGGGCTACAGTCACAGCTAATCAACCTTAATGATTTCAGAATTATGGATAGGCATGTCATTCTGACTTAATGGTAACATTCAAACATAAATAATGGTGATTGCAAAAGCAGATGATTTTCTACACAAAAATAAGTATTAAGTAGCTTTAAAAGTTAAGTATTAAGGAAAAAAACAAGGTCCCCCAAACACATTTTGTTCTCACCAATTAAACTTCCAAGTAACAGATTTTATAAGAATGTCTTAAGAAGACAGTTCCTTATAGAGTCTGTTAAGGTTAAACATTTAAACAAAAAGTCTGGTCAAAACAATTGGTATAGAAGGCCAACAATTTCTAATAATTGGAGATGAAGGAGTTTGAGATCTGCCCAAACTAAGAATCTTAGGTACAAAGGTTTCCTAGAAAAACTTATTACTGAAAACCAATTTTCTTGAATAATAATCTGCAGTGCTTGAGAGTTTAGTGATATTAAATGTGCAAGTTGAAGGTGACATCTGATCATATGGGTGCAATCCCGCAGCTGACACTGCTGAAAAAGGTATTGTTTCTGTATTATAATATCAAATGTTTGAAATTTGGTTACTAAGTCCACTAATAATAAAATTGTAGTAATTTGAGTATTTTCACAAGATGCCAGATTTTTTCACCTCAGAGGGTCATTTTACAATGGTGAGCCTCATCATCTGACTATCACTCACTAACTATGGATTCAAACACTCAGGCATTTGACCCAAATGAGCTTTGGTGCACTTCTGTTAGAGAGAGAGGGAAGGCATTGGAGATAGTTCAGAGGCGCCAGCACTATGTCACTGGCTGAAGGTAATAGGCAGGAGCTGGAAGCCAACAGAGGCTCACCAGGTTCCCCCCAAGTCTACCCTTCACTGCCCTGTCCCTGGTGGGGGAGGCCAGAGAGGGAGCCCTCTCAGAAATGACTGTCAGGCCAGAAGGACTGAACAGGCCTCTCACTCCCTTCTAGCCTTGCACGCTGGAACATCTAAGTCATCTTCTCTCCCGGCCTACGGCAGGACCACCCTGAGCCGGGTAAGGTCCCAAACCAGAGGTCACAGTGTGCATGTGGGGTCCTCTGAAGAGCTGAGCTACCTGGGGAAGAGGGAAGACACTGAAGGTGAAGGGGACTGATGAGGACTCCAGCTTCCTTCTGATCCCTTTATGTCCTTTCTAGCTACAGTCCACAGACTTCAGCCCATCGGGGAGTGAGACTGGAAGCCCAGGTAAGAGGCAGGGTGAGGCAAGCTAAGAAAAGGCCCTTGGGGCAGCTGTGTCTATGACATGGGCAGGGCTGTGTGGCTGGAGGTCTGGGAAGCTAAGCTGGCAGGTCTGGAGGCTTCCTGACCTCAGGGCCACCTCTGAACATGACTCTTCTCTCCCGCAGGCCTGCAGGTGAGTGCTCTCTGAAGGGGAACACGTGGAGCACCAGAGGCCATGGATAGGCAACTGGCAGTGTTGGGGGAGGGGGTGTTGGGCCACAGAGTTGCCTGGTGAGCACACAGAAGCCCAGGGTAAGGCTGGGGAGGTCTCCCTGCCCCACTCTGGCTCACTGCGGCTTTGGTCTCCCCAGAATGGAGAGGGCCAGAGGGGGAGGATGGACCGGGGGAACTCCCTGCCCTGTGTGCTGGAGCAGAAGGTGAGGGGCAGCGGCAGAGCCAGAGGGCGGTGGGCAAGGGGACAGAGCACCTACAATGGGGTGGGCCAGCCTGGGGAGAAGCCAGGAAAGTGAATGCGCTAAGGGGTCCTCCTGGAGTTGCTGATGGGGGAAGCTGGGGGAGCTGGATGGCAACATGGCATGAACCCCGTGGCCCCTGCAGGTTGACAAGGGGGCCTGGGGGGTTGAGGGGTTACAGCGATAGGGAATGCTATGAGCCTAAGACTGCCCCCTCCCCTGCCCCCCAGATCTATCCCTATGAAATGCTGGTGGTGACCAACAAGGGGCGAACCAAGTTGCCTCCAGGTGTGGACCGGATGAGGCTTGAGGTATGCAGGGAAGATGCCCTGGGTGGGTGCCGGGGCTCCCGGTAGGGCAGCCTCCCCCACCTGGTGGGGAAGACCTGTGGCCCCTTGGTCACTCAGCTCAGCCCCACCCTCCTCTCTCTAATCGGCCTTGGTGTGTCCCCTGCAGAGGCATCTGTCAGCCGAGGACTTCTCCAGGGTATTTGCCATGTCTCCCGAAGAGTTTAGCAAGCTGGCTCTGTGGAAGCGGAATGAACTCAAGAAGAAGGCTTCTCTCTTCTGACCACCCCCCCACACCGTGACCCTCACCCCTGCTGCTCACTGGAGTGGGTCACTAGACCCAAACGCATCATCTCTTGGGGGAGCAGGGAGGTGGGCAGAGGTGGGATTGGCTCCATTCGCTAGGTCAATGCGAGCCCAGGCCTCCTCTCAGTGCTGGGCTGTGGGACACGGACGCTCTTCCCATAATGAGCCGGGGCCTCTCCTCATCCCTGGTCCTCGCTGCACAGGGCAAACCCAGGCTGGACCCCAGCACACACAGAGTTAATGTCTGCACCCTCTCCCTGCCCCCATCCCATGAAGAGAGGTCCCCAGAAGAGAGTGAGGAGACATGAACATGGCACTTGGTGGTCAGGCCTGTTAATGTTTTGACCAGTGGGTGGGTAGAACACAGCCTGGCGGGAGGTGGTTAAGGTGGGAAGCAGCAGGCAGACAGGGACAACAGCTCCAGGACCCTGTGTCTGCCCAGGACCCCTCCTTGCCTCACCTTGGACAGCTTCCCTTGCACCTGGGCCTCTGGCCTCTCTGACTCCAGCAAACTCAAGGTTGAGCTCAGCCTCTAGCAGGGAGGCTGCCCTGCCCTCCAGCTTACTCTCGTCTCTCCTTGCAAATCCTATGCTTTGAAGCTTCATGCTCAGCCCTGTGGCTTCCCTAGAAGCCTTGGCTTCGAGTGGAGATGTTGCCTATACCGAACCCCAGCCCCCCATCCAGGCAAAGTGAGCTAGAATCCTACCTTCCAACACCCAGATCCTAGGCAGAACCAAGCCTTCAGGCTCCCTCGGATGGGATCAAGAGGCCAGGCGACCAGGTCCCACCCATACCCATGCATTCCCCCACCATGCTCTCTAAAGAATGTAACTTATTGGGGCACCCCCAGCTGCTTTCCTCACCCAACTCTCTGCCCTACCTAATCACATTCCCAGCTTTTTGTCTCTACAAATACATATGTGTACATAATTATATATATATTTTTTGCCCAGGTCTGGGTTTTGTTCCTGCCCAGACCCTGGCATCCCTTTCCATTGTGTGTGTGTGTGAGATGATGCTGGGGGAGGGGAACTCTGCTTGGCATTAAAAGGTTGCATTGGGTCCCCAAATCTGCTTGTTGTCTATGAGCCACCAGGTCCAGGTTAGAGGGATGGGTGATGCCTGGCTGAGGGAAGTCATGGGAGTGAAGGTTCAACTGGAGGCCCTTGGGGTGGAAGAGGTAGAGCAATGACACACACATTGCCCTTCCCCGCCCGGGGCCATGAAAGCAGGGGCTGGTCCAGCAGGCTCCCATCTGCCACCTCTCCTCCAGGGGGGCTATGTGATGGCGAATGGCATGTGGAAGGGGCAGAAACATACTCCATAGCCTGATAGGAGAGCCAGCTAGGAGGAAAGGCTGCTCCATCTTCCACCGAGGCCCTAAGTGTTCCCCTCACAGGCAAGCTCACCAATAGCAGACATGACTGCAGGAGGCCAAACACACAGCAAAGGTCAACAGGGTATGAGTAGGCGGTGAGTTGACTATCAAGGATCAGGCAAAGGACACTAAGGAATGGAGACATGATGGATGAACTCTAGCAGGAGCAAGGGTCAAGTGGAGGCCGAGGGAGAAGGGTACAGTCAATTGGTCTTGGTTGAGTTGGCAAGACATTCCCGGGGGAAACAGACAGGGAACTGGGTGTCAAAGTGGGTGGAGGAGTGAAGATTTGATTGGAAGATCAGAGGGAGGACTTTGATGTGGAAACCCGTGGGTTGAGGGGCCGGCCTCACCTGGCTGGAACAGCCCCAGTGCGGGAGCGTGAAGAGGTGTGCGTTTGGCCAGAAGGATCAGGTGAGTTGGAGGTTCCAAGTGTGAACGTAGGACTGGAGCTGGGACCTGAATCCAGTCTCCCACCCCAGGGCGAGTTTCTAGCCCCTTGGGCTGAAATGAAAGCAAAGTGGATAATCACTCAGATGTGAACGATGATTTTAAGTTGCCGGAGTTGTTACATCTACAACATTGTGTTATCCTCTCAACAGAGCTGTGAGGGCAACAGCACAAATGGTTTTAATCCATTTAGTTGAGAATATTGTGAAACAGACATTTTATCTGAAGCCTGAAGCTACATACAACTAATGCGTAGAGAATGGAGACAAACATCTGAGTTTTTTGATTGCTGACCCAGGATGTTCCCAGTATAGACAGCTGTTTCTCAGGGGGCAGCGGAGAGGGCAGACTAGGAAGCGCATTGAGAGGAATGGTCTCCACACACGTACCTCTATGAGGCATCAGGGAACATGTGGAGGGCTTACCTGTTCCGGCAGAGGGATAGAGTGGGGGGGAGGCCAGCACCCACCATGTGCACCCAGCTCCCAGACTGTTGAGCAACAAAGCAAGCTGAGGCAGTATTTAATCACAGTTCACTGGAAAATGCTGTGGTGGGGCTAACTGGACAGTATGTCCTAAAGGATTTTAAGTTCCTGAGATTCAGAGCAACTCGTGCAGCTCTGTCCCTAAAACAAAAGCATAGGGAGAGTCTCTCAGTGCCTCCTCCCAAAATACACATGTATACGCACACATGTGTGCACACTCACACACACAAACATGCAAAACGTCGGTAGTTATTCCAGTAGTTTCCAAACCTTTTTAGTAGCAACCCTTTTTTAAAAAAATTAGATCTTACTACTACAGTTTGGAGTGCAGTTATAGGTTGAATTTTATAGTCAATTATTATGAAAATAAATAATAAAAAGCTTTGAAGAACATAAAACATTTGGGTTAGGGGTTATATATGACAGTTGCCCTTCTGTCAAGTGAAGGATCTAATTTATTATTGTAATTGGTTGCATAGTATCGAGAAAATTCTGATTCACATAGGTAAGTAGTTACAGGATTGTGGGGTTTAAAAATGCATGCCAATCCGTTCGTATTCTTCCTGTTGAGCAGCAGCATCTGTGTTCCCTCTCCTGGACTCTGGGGCTTAGTGACTTGCTCATTAAAACGGTTTACCCTGTCTTCTACCTTCATTTGAGCAGGAGAGGCTTTATTCAAAGATCTTCTCCCAAATGAGCTAACCTGACGGCAGAATTTAAATACATCAGTGACTCTAACACTTTCGGCATATAACACATATAAGGGTGTCCACTGACTTTTATCAGAGCTTTTCAAATAAATTCTAAAAAGTTAAGCCAAATAAAAGGCTATGGATTCCTGACACACTTCCACTATGCCCTAGAGTTCCTTGAAACATGTTGAGGAGGGGGAAACAGATTTAATCTATCCAGCTGCTTCCTTTACCCAAGAGGAAATGGGCCTGGAAAAGAACAGTGCTGACTGGCCTGAGGTCTCCAGCTCTCCAGGTTGCTTCTGGATACGCAAAAAAGGCTTGTTTCTTCCCTTTGTACACATTTTGGCCTAAAAGCCTCCTTGTTTCCCATAGGGCTCCTTACCAGGGGCCGTTTGCAGATGAACTGTTAGAAAATATCATTTCCCCCCACACAGCTGTGGGAGAACTGAGCTCCAAATACTAGCTCAGCCTAGACTCAGCCAACCCCAGCCCTCCCCACGTCTCAATCTGGACCGCAGGCTGCACTCCACAGTGCACAGCCAGCTCTGGGCAGGTCCCTGTCCCCTGGGTCTCAGCCCTCCTGGGGAATGGGACCCAACAGCAGTGAAGCCCTGAGACCCCAAAGCTCTAGGCTCTGTGACAAGAGCTACCCCTCCACACACCCCTCCCCATCCCTGTCCCAGTGGGACTCTCAAGGCCTTACCCTTTCATCACAGGATGGAAGTGGTCAGCAGAAATACATGTTGAACAGACATCAAATCCTGTCCTCGGAAAGAATCTCTTTCCATCCCTGGAGGAGTGGAGACGGTAGAGGGGTGGGCTTTAAACTGGCGGAGTGGGCAGCTAGAAGGCACATCCCTAAGACCCTAGCTTTGGACACTCCAGGACCCCTGCCCTTGATGAGGGTTCCGCCTGCGTAATTCTGAGGCCTGATTTTGCCGCGTGTGTCGTCCCCTCGGGAAACCCACCTTCTGTTTCTTCCCGTGGTGCAGCTAAAAGGGCCAAATGGGGCCAAATGGGGCCACCTGTTTCTTCAGGCCGGCCCTCTGGCCCAGCGCTGTACCCACTTAAAGTAACAAGCAACAAGTGAAACTAGTTTTAATATTAGCCCAGTACCGCTAACATATTGCCACCTCAACATGGGAGGCCCGTAAAACCTCACTAGTGAGCTATTTTACTTTCTTGTACTAAGCGGTCAGCCCACCTCGCTTAGGACGCACGCGGCCGTGGCTGCTGTGGGGGGCGGGGGGTGGCGGCGGGGCGTCTAGAGCCCCACAAACTTCTCCTTCCTCATGGAAACAACCGCCCCGGACCCACTCGCCCTTCTCGAAGGGGAGGGTCGTTCTCTCGCCGCCACCTGGCTCCCCTAAGGCGTCCCGCGGCGCCCCCGCGCCCCTCCGCGCCCCGGGGTCCGTAACTTC